GCAGTGCCTCTTGTAGAGTTCGTGGTATTCGCTCCTATTGTGAGCCTGACTGGTACATTGGCAAGTGACCCACCCGGGCTGTATCTCAGTGAGATCCTCACACTCCATGAGGTGCCAATTATCACACTAATCAAATGAGGCAGTTAACAAAATGTGGTGTTGGGTGTCATCCCAGGTCACTTGACTCCGTGCAGCCTGAATTGTGAACCACTTCACTGCCTGGTGTGAAATATGTGTCTGGAGCTTTAGATCCAAACTGCAGGTGATCAATGAAAAACCGATCCTTAGAGTGCCATTTACAAGGTAGAAACCCTGTGAGCAGGAGACGGTTTCAAATATTCTAGAAGGTTCTTTGCTGATCTGCCTTCCATTATTAATCCTTTACATTTTTTTAAGCACATGCTCTCTGCTAGCCTTCATTTAGATGTTTGGTATGAATGACTTCATTTAAATTCTCGTAAGAGACCTATGAGTGGACACTATTGTTGGCCACATTTTGCCATGACAAAACCACAGCACAGAGGGGCTCCCAAACTTGCCGAAGGTCACATGAGTAATAGCAATTATTCTGGGATTCAAATACAGTTTGGAGCACTGGAGATAGATCTACATCTTACAATTTCAAGTTTGGAAGACATCTCTCAGATATAGATAGATAGATAGATAGATAGATAGATAGATGTAAATCTTTCAAACTTGTCAAGTGGAAATATGCAGAATTGAAAACCTAACCTCACTGTAAGGCAAAAAAAAACAAGAGATGGCCCAAAGAAGCAGAGGGAAAAATTAGCAGTTCTGTGGCTCCTTATCTATCTGGCCTTTGAAATGTTATCTCACATAAGCCTCAAATCTTACAAGGCAGACATTGCCCCCATTTCACAGGTGAGGAAATGATCACTTAGAAGTTATTGGCTCAAGTTCACATGGCTGCTAAGGGATAGAACCACATTCAAACTTGGATTCATGTGGGCTCAAAGCCCAGACTTCTATAATCATTTTTATTAACATCTGACATCTTGTCTTTTTAATGTGTCCCTTGAGTGTCAGTGTAAATGCTGTTAAACAACAAATCAAAAGAAAACAAAAAAGGAATGTTGTTCTGCCTCTATTTTGCTTAAAGTTGAAAGCAAGTGGAACATTGTGTATTTGCTCAAATCATCACAGTCCTATCTGTCCTCATACTGGAGTCCCCTGTGCCCCCACTTTGTGCCTGACTCGTATTCCTGCAGACCTGCTTTATGTGGAAGTTCTGCTCCATGGCTTCAGGTTTCAAAAATGAAATCTGATGGGCAAATGGGCCTGAGGTCCCAAAGTCAGCTGCCTGGATCTCTAACAATGAACAATGAACGGTGGAATGTCCGCTCCGTATACATTCCAGAGAAGATGGTTACCCAGCTCATTAGAACAAGCCAAGGACACCCCTTGCATCAACACTGGGTGGCACTGATGAATAATATGTCCTTTGTGGAGGCAGTCCCAGCCACGCAGGGGGGGAAATTCCTAACAGCCTGTTTTCTTGCCTCCCTCCCTGCCTTTAAATAAGTCCCATCATGTGATCTCTTTATTCTGACATCAAATAGCCTGCTGTTATGAGGAACAAGACTCTTTGGATTAGGAAAGATAACCAACATGGCTAAGAGTGGTCCTTAGAAGGAACCTGGGAACTCCTAACTTCCACCTGCCTTGATGGCAGATTGAAGTGTGTCGGATGCAGACTTGTACACTGAATTTTTTAAAGATGACATAAACGTATTGCCTTATAGTTCTATAGGTTGGAAGTCCAACAGGGTCTCACTAGCTCAATACTGCATGTTCAGTTAAGCAAAAAAGAAAAAGTTGTCTCCACGTCATCTTTGCTCCTACTGCCCTCCC